CATATTTGAAAACTAGTCGAATGTTTAAAAAACTAGTGCAATTGCTTAAGCACATGTGCAATATTTGAAACATAAGTGCATTAGTTGAACCCGCAATGCAATAATTGAACAAAATTTAGTGTAAAATTTAAAATAATATTGCAAAATTTGAAACTAATATTTCAAAGATTGCGCTAGTGTTTCAAAATTTTGCGCTTGTACTTCAAGTTATGCATTATTGTCTCAAATAGTACGTATTGCATTAGTTTAATAATCCAAACACTAATACACTATTTGAAACACTACCACAGCATTTTTTGAATTTCTGGGGTAACATTTGAAACAATGGTGAAATGTTCGAAACACTAGTTCATTATTTGAAACCCTAATAAAATATGTGACACACTAGTGCATTATTTGAAACATATGCAATAGTTCAAACACCAGTGTACTATTGAAACACCACCGCAGGAATACTTGATTTTTTGAAGTAATATTTGAAACATTATTGCAATGTTTGAATTACCAGTGCAATTTTTGAAAACTCAGTGCAATAATTGATTTTCTAGTGTAATATTTAAAATTTTTGTGCATCTTCGAATTACTATTTCAATATTTGAAGCACTGTTACAATAATAAAAACTTTAGAAGACGATTAAAAACACTTGCGCAGCAATTTTTCATGTTTTAGTGTTTTGTTTGAGACAATAGTGCAATGTTTGAAAAGGTATTTTAGTCTTTGAAATTCTAGACCAATATTTAAAAACTAGTGCAATATTTATAACATTTAAATAACAATACTTGAATTTCTAGTGAGTGTAATATTTGAAACTCTATTGCAACGTTTGAAACTTCATTGCAATAATTGAAACACTTTTGCAAAATGTGATTCACAAGTTTTATATTTAAAACTCTAGTGCAATAGTTGGAATTGTTGTGCAATAAATCATTTTCAGTGTAATATTTAAAACGCTAGTGCAATATTTGAAGCACTAGTGCAATAATTGAAACACTGTAGCACTAACTGAACCTCTAGTGCCAAATTTGAAATAGTTGAGCAAAAATTGAAATTTTAGCTTAATATTTGAAACAATAGTGAAGTATCTTTCCTCGAACAATCAAACAAAAAGGTTTAGAATGTAAAATTTTTCAATGTGTGTTTTGTTCGATTTTTTTAACATATGTTTCATACAAGATAAGCAAAAGCTAATATGGCATCTTGACATTTGTTCACATCTCGAGACTGTGTTTCTCGATTCGTTTTCGAAACTTCTCGATGCAATGGTTGAAAAGAAAAAAAATGGTTATTAAAATGTTAAATTTTGCCCATAGATAGTGATATACCTAGTTTTTATCAAAAAAAAAGTAACAAAAAATTTGAGAAATTAAAATAAAAACAATTGAAATAAGCTCATTATTCGAAGCTTTTATATTAAAAAATTGATAGCAGTTTCTGCTTATTTTTGTACGCCGACAAAAAAAGGTGATGTGATGTTGGAACTCTCAAAGAATGAAGTGAAAATTTTTTTACTACTTGCTGGTTTCGTCCGGATCAAAATCTACGAACTTTGTTCTTTGGGTCTAAGGTACTTACAGTCTGTCATATTTCAAATTGTTCTCTGTTTCAGTTGATGAGTCCAGCAAAAATGTGTTTCTAACGTTTTATTTTCACGCAAGGAAGGAAATGATTTTATGATCAGAAGGTTTCATTAGGACTTGTTTTGAGTTTTGAAAATTGTTTGGTTGCGTTACTTTTTTCTCCAGTATATTAAAGAAAATCTCTAACAATGCTTCCATGAATGGCTGCAAAGGAGGCCTTCACAGTAAAATTGTTTGCTGGTTTGTTTTGGTTAATCAAGTAACCTTTTAGTCCGTTTAATCAGTTAGTGTTGAATCAAATTTCCCATGTACAACTATGGACAAAATAATGCGCAAATTCAGATTTTTACTTTCCAAAATGTCTAATTTCAATGTCCATTTTGGACATCGTATACTTCGATTTTTACCAAAAGTTTTAGACAGACCTAGAACAAATTATCAGCACTAACCTTTATGAAAGTATCAGTATTTGATAAAATTTAGTAAAATTTCCTCACTGAATAACTCAATTTTCCCAGTGAGAATGTTTCATGAACAACTTTTTCTACTCCATTTATTCTAGAACTTGTTCAGTCCGATGCAAAACTAGGAGCAGATGATGAAATCTGGCATTTCAGCCTGGGGGTTAATTTGATGTCTAAGAAACCAAATTTTGATAGTTTCATAGACGGAGCTCTCATCATTTGCTCCTTGTACGTGTAAATTTTTTTCTGAACTTCCAAGTAAATATTGTTCAAAATGGACTTGAAAACAAGCATTTTAGAGAGCAAAAATTTGGTTTTGCGCTTAAGTTTGTGCACTAGTGTAGTTGCACAGAAAACTTCAAAAAAGTGTTGTTTTGATCATGAGTGTATCATATTGTGAGTACGAAAACTATAATTTTTTCCTTTCATTTAATTTGAGATGCACTTATCATGATCTCAATAGATCTGATTCTTTGAGGTCTTGAGTCTGTTTCATGATTCCAATCTTATATCAATTGATAAATTGACTATATTCACCCAAACCATAGGTCGCCTTCAAGTTCTAGTATGCTGAGAATGCAAGAGCAATTTGAAAGGTATGTCTTGTCAAACTGTTTTTCAATTATTTTTAATGAAACGGAAGTTTTAACAATTTGCAAATGCGCTTTGAGACCATTGTCTGCTGTTAGATTTAAGTTTTAATTGTTCTGTTGCATGTAGTATTTGTCGCCTCCTTTTGGTCAAATAATTGCAATTTTTCTGGTTTTATTTTTCTTAAGAAACTTTTTTGATTATCGCTCAAAACAGAGTCAAATAGTCACAATTTAAAACAAGTATAGCCGGTTTCTGTGCAAGTAGCACAGAATGTTCCGACCATATTCATAAAAACTACAAATAAAAGTTCTTCAAATAATAAAATTCTTCAAATTAGTGTCGTTTTTGTAAGTGGTGTGGCAGGCAAAACTATACACACGTACAAAATTATAGTAAATTAAGCATAATCGAAAACAGCTGTCTCCAAAGAAAGAATAACAAACAAAAAATGAAAAAACAACATTTCTTTTTTTAACAATATTTTTTTAAATTCTCTTAAAAAATTTTTCTTGCCAGGGAGGTGCCAAACATAGCTTTCAAAACTAAATTCCGTTTCTTAAAATCTTTTTTTATAGCTTAAGTGACCAATTTAAAAAGATATCACTTTATTCGGTCGAAATTAGACGAAAAGCCAAAAATTTCAAACCAGTTTTTCTCAACACTCGGATTTTTTTTGATTTTTTTTTATAACGTGCGAATTACGACTGAAACGGCAGAAATATGATATATCATCCAGTATGATGATTGTTTGTGTTACCTGATTTTGCGTGAAAAAAACACACCCGAATGCGAAGTTCCTCCCCATTTTCAATCGTCGGAGCAAAAATCAATTTGTTAGATTCACGTTTGACGTTTTGGGATTTTTTACTATGAACGTGGATTCTGAATAATTTTAGTCGGTTTGAGTTATTGATGGCTTTGTAGACACACTCCGTATATTATTTGAAGAAATGAGAAAAATCATAAAATAAAAATAACGCGAAAATGTATGAGGTAAATATAAGACACCTTAACCTTGAAATACTTTAGTCAGTTAGCGGCACTTAGAGGCACTTTTTGTAGTGATAGTGCGTTTGCTTTGAGAGCTTCAGATCATGTTAGCGATTCCCAGTCACACCAATGATAGTAAGTTCTAGACGTAAAAATGCCTTTCGCTCAACAAAATAGTTGTCTGGTATGTGGGGAAATGATTAAACAGACTCCTTATACAGACTGCACAGCGTTTGATAGATTATGCAGATTTTTTAAAATGATTTTTATCCAACTTGTTCCTGACTAAACCATTTTTACTCAATTGCAAGGTAGTGTTACTTTTTAATTACGCTATTGAAGATCTTGAAGAGTTGTCTAAAATTTAGCACCGATTTTCGGCTGATTTATTCTTGAGAATTTTGCAGATTTTGTCATGAAAAGTTTTTGTGAGTCAAACAAATCATAGGTGGAACATAACTTTCAATGTGATACCACAGAATAAGCGATAACTTACTGGGTGTTTTCAACTCGGCAACTAACGCACCACAGAACTCTCAGAAATGGGTGACTTGTTTTTTTAGCAGATCAGTCTCGTGAAACCTGATGAAGCATAAAACGTGAAACCTGTGTCTTTTAGCTGACCAAGTAATATAGCCGACACCTGTTCATTAACAGCTGTGAAAAGGCGCTTAGCCTGGGGTCGAGTTTTTCTAATTCAGTCAATTATCTCATGGAAAGTCAAAAAGTTAATCGTAATTACCGGCGAACAAGCAATTCTAGCACGCAATACCACTCATGCCGAAAATAAGCGCAGCGAAATGTCAGCACTAGATACCTTTCAATGCCGCGTTAAAATTTATGGTTTTCTTTTCTGGTTAATTGGTTTGAGTCGGCTAAAAGATCGGTGTGCTAAGAGTTTGGTCGGCTTAAAGCACTAGCCCTTCATAAATATCATATTGCCCCGATATCCAGTGGTTTGGTTTCGAATAGGCAACAATTGAAAGAGTACAAAATTAGCCGATTTTAATTTGTTCATGTTCAAATTATTTTTTGCGGTTTGACTTCTGATTTTAGTTGAGTTCATTTCCTTAAAAAAGGAAGGCAAACCCAGTTTTAGCGTAATAAAAAGTTTACCCAATGATGCACTAAACTCAATTTCGGTTAATTTCATCAAAAGAATGCCAATCATATTTTTTTTTGAAGTTCAATGAGATTTAAGGGTATATATTTTTCTTGAAATTCGAAAGTTGCTTTTTTTTCAGTAGTTTTTTTATGTTTCCTTGCGTTCATTGACTCTTTTCTGACTTTCTGTAATTCTGTGAAAGTTACATTTAAAAAAAAATTGTTTACGTACGAATCGTGTTTGGAAACGAATGATTGTTTTGTTTTTAGTTTCCAGCTGACAGACGATGTGGACGACGGAGGAGATCTGTCAATGCAGGACCCGATGAAGCTGCTGGTGCAGCTGAACGAGAAGTACCACAGACAGAAGACACTCTACAAGATGACCAGGGACTACTACTACAAACTGAACCTATTCGTTTTCTACCTTCCTCTACTCATCGTGCAGGGTCAGTTAAATTCAGAGGTGGACAATCTTTTTCGAAAGAATACTGAAAAAACGGCCTTCCTCCTCTCGAAAAAATCCTGAATGTTCCCCGGGCCTTAAAAAGTATTGATCAAGTTAAGGTTCTCACTTCAAAAATTGACCATGTAAATATTTTTAACACTAGTGTTTAATGTGGATCCAAATTTCCGGTCTTGTTAAGAGTCGATGAATGTAGTTTAGAGTCTTGTATAGGTCGGGATGATTTTTTTCGTTTCTTATTTTTTTCAGAAAAAGTCTTAAAATTTGTTAACGCTCAAATTTTCTTTTTTCGCGGTTTGACGTTTGATTTTTTAAGCTCAGTTAATTTCCTTTGTTAAAAGGAAGGCAAACTCCACTATCGAATAGCGAAAGTGTGAAGGTCACAAAAAACTTGATCGACTTCTTTTTTCGAAATTGGAATTTAATAATCGATTTCCCAGCGAAGTAAAAGTTTTACCGATTAATCAAGTTTTCTCAAATTGGGTTAATTTTATCAAAAAGTGTCAATCTAAAATTTTTCTAGAAATTCAAAGAGCTTTAAGGAATTATTCCAGAAATTCAGAGAGCTTTGAAATTCGAAAGCTTAGATTTTTCAAAAATATATTTCTTTCTGTAACTTGCTTTCAATGCTTCTTTTCAACTGTCATTTGGCTATGTTTAGTAATTCCGCCCAAATTTTAGAGTCACAGAGATCAATCAGAGATAAGAAAAAGCTAGCAGTGGATTGGTGAAGCTTGAAACAGTTGTAATTGACTAGATCTAGTATCGTTTTTACTTTCGATTAGGGAGTTTCGGTTTCGGGCAGATTTGACCCAAAATTGTTTAGTTCTGCGCATACAATTGTAGATTTTGATGGGCTGACTAATCCATCTAATAATCAAATTAACATCATTATACCCCAAACCTTTTTTAGGGAAGATGGTGTTTCTAAGTTTTTTTTCGTGGTGTGGTAATGTTGGCGGTTTTTGGGAAAACTGAAATTTGGTTAGTTTCAGTGGAGGATGTAGGTATTTCTTGAGGGAGCAAATTTTTGAGCAAAAACAAGTCAAATTGCCGTTTTTGGTATTAAAAAATAGTTAAAAGTGCTCCCTTTGGTTGGGGAGGGCGTCGAATCCCTGAAAAGGGAAAGGGGGAGTCCGCCCCCTATTTCGCCCCTGGTTAGTTTATAGCTCCTGGAAGGTTAAATAAAGATGAACTGCATAACATGTTGATATGCTTTCTCATCTGCTTACGATGATATTTGGAAACAATAACATCAGGGATTTCGAGTTTTCAGACTAAATCTGTTTTTTTTTTACTGTAGCGAACGTAGATGAGCATCGCAGATTGTTTTTTCGCCCCCGGTCCTACTCAATACAGGACTAACCATAGGCGAGGGGGCTGTCATTCTTTTTGCCGCAGCCGTCCCACCTTGAGGAGGTGAATGACACTGGGACCCCTCCAACCATGACCGGTTCGAACGCACGACCCTCGTAATGAAGGACGCTTGCCTTACTCCACTCGGCTACGGCTGCTCTCGGCCACGGCTGCTCCACGGCCACATAAACTGATTTCAGAGAGAATCATCAGATAGTCAGAGGCACTAAGAATTTTAAGATATTTAATTTTCATAATGCAACTTCTATCTTCCTATTTTCCTTCGCGGACCTCATTCCTGACTGAGTTTTTAATCTTCTGACTTATTATTCCTTACCTCCCTATTGCATCAATTTGTAGAAATCATATTATAGAAATCAATCAAATATTTGGTGGTATGACGTTTCCAATTAAAACAATAAGGGCAATCAAGATTTGTACGAATCTTTCGTAAGTAGTTACTTGTTGGTGAGCAAAACAAAAACGAGGTGGTTTCGAACTGGCAAAGATATACTGTTTACTTTTTGTGAAAGTAAGTTGGACAAATCTTGAATGTTCCTTGACACAGTCAAACTTTGCTGTAAATGCGAAAAGCGTTTGACTTTCCGTCTCTACAAGAAGAATATGGAATTTTTTGTCGTCATTTTTACTTTATTATACTGACAAAAAGTTAATGTTTTTTTTTGAATGTCAAATTGAAGATCCGAATGAGGATTCTTGTCAAGGCTGCATGCGAGTTCAGTGAAAGGTGGGTCGATGAGTTGTCTTTGATAGTCTTGTGACCAACTGGTATCAACGTGTTTTGATTTTTTTCCAGCTGAGCAATTAAATCTAAACGCGTTCATGTACACGACTGTTGAACTGATGGCTGTGCTCGTGGTTAAATGAAATTATAACTTTTTTCCATTAATAAGTGTTATTGTTCCGACTTTCGATAAGAAAGTAACGGAATATTTGTGCTCGGGGTGGGTTTTTTTTTCTTCAGACAAATTTCGACTTTTTAACTAGCCATTTTTGACAGAATCTTTTTTATATCATTCGAAAGCTATTGTTGTCCTGAGCTCAAATTTGAAAAGATTTTTCACCTGTGATCATTTTTTGTAAGGTTATGGGGGTTTAAAGATTGCCATTTTGGCCAATTTGGGACAATTAACGCGCGATATATATCGCGCTATTAACGCGTGAGCGGAGAGTTAATCCGTTCATGTTCAAAGAGCAGTTTTTTCAACTCTTCGCTACGTTATTGAACAGCAGCAATTAAATGAACAGGAGAAAGCACTACAAGTTTTCAAAATGGAAGATATTGTCGCCGGTGCCATTTTGAACGAGATTTCTTATTCGCAACAGGCTTTGTGTTCGTCGGAGAAAAATAAAATGCAAAATCAGCAATTGGCTAAGATGGGTTGCCGCGATTAGCAATAATCTGAAGAGACTGTTTAGTATGGCACGGAACATGAATTAAGCGGAGAGTTAATCCGTCTTAGAAATCGTTCCAAATTGGTTAAAAGAAGGCTATTTGCCATAATTGGTTTGTTACAAGGAGCGAAATCTATCCTTTTCTACTTTTTATGGCGTGTGGGGGGGATGATTTTTTATAAAAAATTTCAAATTTTAGAAATTTTTTTTTCATTTTGTTTTATTTCATTGAATTTTTTAATGTTATTACTGCTCCATAAACCTTAAAAGGCAGTCGGAACATTCAGGGCTTCGCCCTGATACGAGCAGTCTTGTTAGTTTTTCGTTCAGGCAATGGTCGCCCAAACAAAAGTTTACAAAAAAAATTATAGAATCGAATTGATCCATGACTTGAGTTTTACAGAAAATAAACCAAATTTCCAGATTTCCAGCGCCAAATTTCCAGTTTTCTATTAACGCGCATATCGCATTCGACTATTTAATACGTCTCAGAAGTCATTAAAAATTGACTTGAAGTAAGTTCATTGATATGAAAACTGCGCTACTAAGCTCAAACTGAAATAGAATTATTATTTTTTTCTCATTGGCGATAACTTTGAGCTTCGCTTGCATAGTTTCTTTTCGGGTGAACAATTTGATTTCCTGAGAGGGCTGAAATGATTATTAAGTGTCCATTAAGGTAGTGAAGACACTTATATAGGTCTTGATAATTCTCCTTTTTTAAGGAAAATTTCGTCACGCATTCGATTTTTTTTATATTCAATTCAAATTCGATTGGTAAACGAAGGGCAATTACGCTCTCCAACTGGCACGTAAGAAGCGGAAATGGCGCGAAAGAACATGAATGGCTTTTAGATTTGTAGGTGTATTTTATTTTTTACAAACGCAAAATGGCTAGTATTGTGTAATCTTACCAAGTACTTTTTTCCAAACCAACTCGCCAATGAAAGTGTTCATTATGTTAGCACTTTTCTTGCATAATAACTGGCAGTTTGTTTTCCACTATGGCCAATAATTCATTGCTGTAGTAAGCGGCAGTTTCACAGTTCTGTGGGGCAATGGCTCGAATGCTTGGATATCCGAGGACTCAAGTTCGATTCCCCAGGGAAAGTACTTTTCAAAACTCATGGTTGTTTTTTCTTGTCTTTTTGTTCCGACTTCCGATACGAAAGTAACGGAATATTTGTGCTCGGGGCGGGTTTTTTCTTCAGACAAATTTCGACTTATTATTTAGCCATTTTTGACGGAATTTTTTATATCATTCGAAAAGTATTGTTGTCCTGAGCTTAAATTTGAAAAGATATTTTACCTTTGATAATTTTTTGTAAAGTTATGGGGGTTTAAGGATTGCCATTTTGGCCAATTTGGGACAATTAACGCGCGATATATTTCGCACTATTAACGCGTAAGCTGAGATTTAATCCGTCTTAGAAATTGTTCCAAATTGGTTGAAAGAAGCTTATTTGCCATAATTGATTTGTTACAATAGCGAAATCTATTCTTATGTTTTATATGGCGTGTGGGAGGATGATTTCAAAAAAAATTCAAATTTTAGAATTTTTTTTTTCATTTTATTTTTTAAATTTTAATGCCAACGAGTGGTCGATGTTGTATCACGTTTTTTTTTGTGAATTAGTGTTCATCCAAGGTTAGCAACATTTTTGCCTTGTTGAGTTGCCGTAGATGGAATCTATCACGTTGAATTTTTTTAAAACTTATCTGTGAGTCTAATAACTTGTTATCAATGATTTTCATTCTCAAAATTTTCTCAATTATGACTTCATTAACAAGTTCAAAAACAAATTTTATTCTCTAGAAAAGTTGTTTCTCAGCATTTATTGCTCCGACTTTCGATACGAAAGTAACGGAATATTTGTGCTCGGGATGGGTTTTTTTTCTTCAGACAAATTTCGACTTTTTAACTAGCCATTTTTGACGGAATTTTTTGATATCATTCAAAAGCCATTGTTGTCCTGAACTTAAATTTGAAAAGATATTTCACCTGTGATCATTTTTCGTAAAGTTATGAGGGTTAAAAGATTGCCATTTTGACTAATTTGGGACAATTAACGCGCGATATAATTCGCGCTATTAACGCGTAAGCGGAGATTTAATCCGTCTTATAAATCGTTCCAAATTGGTTGAACGAAGCTTATTTGCCATAATTGATTTGTTACAAGGAACGAAATCTATCTTTTCGTACTTAATATGGCGTGTGGGGGGATGCTTTTCACAAAAAGTTTCAAATTTTGGAAAAAAAATTTTCATTTTATTTTATTTCATTTAATTTTTTATGTTATTACTGCTGCTCCATAAAGCTTAAAAGGCAGTCGGAAGCTTCATACGAGCAGTCTTGTTTCATATGGCTTCGCATAACAATTGTGGCAACTGAATTGAGACTCATATTAATTGTGACTTAGGGATAACACCAATTCTCGGTAAATTTTATCCCGACTTAATTAGGTTATGTTTATTTTAAATTCAAATATGGTATATTTTAATTAACGTGGGCTATTGTGATTTGGGCTAATTTGGCTGGTATGGGATATACTGGTATGGGATAATTTGGCATAAGATATTTTGGCTGTGGATACTTTTTTCCGGTCAGCAGCTTCTAAAGCTTAAAAGAATAATAAGACTCTATCAAAAAAATTCAACAAGACTGCTCGTATCAGGGCGAAGCCCTGAATGTTCCGACTGCCTTTTAAGGTTTATGGAGCAATAATAACATTTAAAAAACTAAATGTAATGATCAAAATGAAAAAAAAAGTTTCTGAAATTTGAAATTTTATACGAAAATAATCCCCCCACACGCCATTTAAAGTACAAAAGGATAGATTTCGCTCCTAGTAACAAATCAATTATGGCAAGTAAACTTCTTTCAACCAATTTGGAACGATTAACGCGCGTTAATTGTCCCAAATTGGCCAAAATGGCAATCTTTAAACCCCTATAATTTTACTATAAATGATTACAGGTGAAATATGTTAAATAAGTTTTTAAATTTAAGCTCAAGACAGCAATCGTTTTTGAAAATTCTTTTTTTAAAATTCCGTCAAAAATGGCTAGTTAAAAAGTCGAAATTTGTCTAAAGAAAAAAAACCCACCCCGAGCACAAATATTCCGTTACTTTCGTATCGAAAGTCGGAACGAAAACTTGGTTGACACTAAAAGATGACAAAATCAAAACAAAGCAAAGTCAATTAAAGTAGAGTGAATGAAATACCATGTTGTAATGGTTACAGGACTGACCACTGTGCTCACTCATATGTCGGGAAGGCCGGTTATCCCGCAACATGACAAGATCAAGATAATTGTGGCTATTCTGAACGGTATGTCTTCAGTGTGGACTGCTGCTCAGCTCAAACTTGGGTTAGATTTTTTTCACTTCAGCACATCAACGCGCGAAATTCAATTTCTATGCGTAGCACTACTGAAGATAGTGGTGCAGTTACTATTTTAAAATGGGTCCACTGTTGTAGGTGGCATCCAAACTTAAATAAATTTTGTCGCGCTCTTTATCAGCAAAAAATAGTTTCAAAAGGTTATTTCCCAATTTGATGTTTGAATAGTCAAAATATGGCTAAGAACTGTAGCTTAGAGTAAATTTGAAAACTAACCAATTTCCGACTGTTTTTTGCTATACTAACGTGAATTTAGTTAAAAATGAGATGTGGTTGTGCTTGATTGTTAATGTAGGTGGAACCAGAAGACCCAGTCGGCTAATTCGACCCTCATCAAGTACAGAGACATGAGTGCACATGTGGCCATGTTCCTCACCATCCTGAAATGCCAAAAGGAGATGTGTGAGTGAAGTGCCGACCTCAATAGTGACAACTGCCCTCGTAAAAATAGGCCAATCTGAGAAACGGCTCTTTGATTAATCAAAAGATTTTTGAGGACCTCATTTTTCTACAAAATCCATCTTATTGAACCAAGTGTACTTAAAAAGACCAGTTTTTAGCTTAAAAATGTTCGGAGTATAGGTCTACTAGCAACTAGATTTAGTTTTTTTGTTTTTAAATTTCAGCCCCCAAAGGCATGCTGATGTTTGTCGAGAGTTGCTACGATAATGAGAAAAGCATCATGCAAAATGAAATCACAGTGCCTCCCTTCATCGTCAAAAGATACGACAGTGGCGAGATAACTCCGGACGACACAACTGGCAATATGGCGAAACACATCGAGAAAGGTAGGCTTTAAATGAATCACTCGAAGCCTTCTTATCTCCCCATGACGTTATTTAGCGCACTAAAACAATTGGGGGAGATATTTTTTTGGATATTTTTGAAAAAAATTCGCTTTTTTTCTCGTGCGTATTCTGATGTGTCAATGTAATTATAAACAAGTTCACTTGAGAAATCGAGAAAAAAAATATGAATTTTTTTACCAACCCTGTGATAGTGTGATAGTTATCAACTAACCTCCCCCCCCCCTCCCCCCCCCCCCCCCGCACAACTTCAAGAATAAGAGATCAGTTAAACAAGTAATATTGCTAAAGTTTATAAAAACAATTTTTGAAATTCTAATCAATTTGAAATTTGCTTCAAAATTGTTTTTCGGTGGTAGATAGTCTTTTTTTTCATTATGTATCTGAAGAGGACGCCAAGAAGGCAGCCAAGGAGGCGAAGAAGAGCAAGAAGAAGAAGAAGGCATCGGTTGAGGACAACCCCAAAATGGGAGAAGCAGGGACTGAACTGGACGTGACTAATGTCGGAGGTCAAGGCGAAGAGGACGCTCCTCTCATCAGCAAACCAGGAGGTATAAATGCATTTACGTGTATATGCTTGTATTGTTTTATTGAGCTGTTTTTTGTTTTATTTTGCGAGGTTGCCGTTTTACCCGTGAATTTGACATTTTACAGATGTTTATCAATGAATTATTATTTTTTTCTCATTGGCGATAACTTTGAGCTTCGCTTGCATAGTTTCTTTTCGGGTGAACAATTTGATTTCCTGAGAGCGCTGAAATGATTATTAAGTGTCCATTAAGGTAGTGAAGACACTTATATAGGTCTTGATAATTCTCCTTTTTTAAGGAAAATTTCGTCACGCATTCGATTTTTTTTATATTCAATTCAAATTCGATTGGTAAACGAAGGGCAATTACGCTCTCCAACTGGCACGTAAGAAGCGGAAATGACGCGAAAGAACATGAATGGCTTTTAGATTTGTAGGTGTATTTTATTTTTTACAAACGCAAAATGGCTAGTATTGTGTAATCTTACCAAGTACTTTTTTCCAAACCAACTCGCCAATGAAAGTGTTCATTATGTTAGCACTTTTCTTGCATAATAACTGGCAGTTTGTTTTCCACTATGGCCAATAATTCATTGCTGTAGTAAGCGGCAGTTTCACAGTTCTGTGGGGCAATGGCTCGAATGCTTGGATATCCGAGGACTGAAGTTCGATTCCCCAGGGAAAGTACTTTTCAAAACTCATGGTTGTTTTTTCTTGTCTTTTTGTTCCGACTTCCGAAACGAAAGTAACGGAATATTTGTGCTCGGTGCGGGTTTTTTTTCTTCAGACAAATTTCGACTTTTTAACTAGCCATTTTTGACGAAATTTTTTTATATTCGTTCCAAATTGAACTGAAATTGAACTGAATGAGTCTTAGAAATCGTTCCAAATTGGTTGAAAGAAGCTTATTTGCCATAATTGATTTGTTACAAGGAGCAAAATCTATTCTTTTGTGCTTTATACGGCGTGTGGAGAATGATTTCATAAGAAAATTTCAGATTTTAGGAAAAAAATTTCCGTTTTATTTTTTTACAGATAATTTTTTTATGTTACTACTGCTCCATAAACCTAATAAGGCAGTCGGAACATTCAGGGCTTCGCCCTGATACGACCAGTCTTGTTTCTTTTTATAACTTTTTCAAGTGCCAATTAACGCTGTAAAGACACTTAAATAGGTTGTGATGATTTTTGCCTTTTTGCAGTAATTTGATTTATTGCGGTTTGAATTTTGATTCCTTTTTAAGTTCAGTTCAATTTCATATAATACAAAGAAGGCAAGTTATGCTCTCAAACTAAGAAAATATGACGGCGCAAAAAATGTATGATTGACCTCTAGATTCGAAATTGTATTTTTATTTCTAGAGTTCCCAGCGGAATAAAGAAATTGTTTTGTTGATCCTGTTTTCTCTAATTGGGCTTAATTATGAAAAAGTGTTGATTGCAAATGTTCGAAAGTTTTTCGCAAATTTTTTCGAGTTTCGCAAATTTCGGAAGAAATGATTTTTTTTCCTTTGTTTCATTTCAGTTCCTTGATTTTTTTCAATTATAGTTTAGCTATGTTTGAATAAAAAATATTGATTATCCAACAAAGGCTTTTATGGTCATCGTTCAGAAAAAAATGTTGTCATTTATGTCAATCTGACCGATGGACTTTCTGTTGAATTTTGAAATTGACCGAGAATGGTTTTAAATGACTTTATAGTTTTTTTTTCATCTAAATTCGGCTCTGTTTTAAAGCGATCACAAACTTGTTAAATATCAAAGCGACACAAGTTTGTTAAATTTTGAAGCGACACAAACTTAAACAGAACTGTAAGCAAGGAAGCTAATTTTTTACTCGATGAAAAAATTACAAGACCACAAACTGCATAAATTTTTATGTAAAGTTATCACAAACGAATGTCTTTCAGTATATAACTCAAAATGAACTAGTAAATTTCATAGAAATCGATTGAAATTTCTAATACTAGAGTTCGAAGGATTTTTTAACAAAATAGTTCCAACAAAAAACATTCTTGTTTTCCCGCTTTATTCAAAAATCAAGCACAATTGAATAGAATAAATTCAACCAAATGCTCTTGTACTTTAAAACATTGGCAATAAAGAGTGAGTGAATGAAATTTTTCCTTCCCTTATGGTACTTCAAATTTTGTACGGATCCTAATGAATTCAACTACGTATGTATTATTTATTTTACTATGTTGATTTTAAAACTACTTATTTTTGCATTTACACACAAGTTATAATTTTATTTTTGAGTTTTCGTTTTGCGCACTGAAGCGTTATATCAGCACTGTATTATGGTATCCTCAGTTGTCATAATCAAAACACAAAACAACTCAAAGTTACCACATTACTTCGTAAAACACATAAATATCTATTTTGTATGCAGTAACATGAAGTACTAGCATCATAATAATAATATAAATAATACATACGTAATAAAATTCATCAAGATCTGCTCAAAATTTGAAGCATCACTACGGAAGGAAGAAATTCAGTTATAAATTTGTTTGAATAACTTTTCAGCTCAGAATTTTAAATCAAATTCAACTGATAGTGAAAGTTTTTAGTTCGTTTTGCGAAACAATTGTTCCTACATGTTAATCGCAAACCTTTTCAAAAAAATGCTAAACGCTTGAAAATGGATTAAATTTTTTAATGACGATTTAGCACGCTTTTTTTTCAAAATTGACATGATGATTATATATATTGTTGGGGTAGTTTTTTTTAGACCAAAGTCGGTGATCGAAAAATAGTTTTGAACAATTTTTTTTACATAATGAAAATATTGACTCTTCGAGTGTGAATGTGAAGAAATATTTCGCATGCAATCGTTTTTTCAAGTTATTGGAGTTCAGCGATAGCCAATTTTGCGATTTTTTGGAATAGTTAAATTGCTTTGAAAATAACTTATATGGTGGAGAACATTATCGCGCTAAAAATTGCTCTAAAAATTATTGAGGTAATCTAATTGATCACATTAATTCTTTTTAAGAATCCATTTTAACAATCGTTTTTTCTGACTTAGGAAGACTGACGGAATTTTTGTGCTCTACTTTTTAATTAGAAGTTTTTGACGAGATTTTTTTTCATTTTTGTTTGAAAGCTATTGATATTCTGAGCTCAAGATTTAATAGATATTTCACAAGTGAATTTTTTGTTAAGTTATAGGGGCTTGAAAAATGTCAATTTGTGGCAAAGCGTGATATAATTCGTCCTGTTAAAGCGTAAAACGTGTTGAAATCTTTCCAAATGAAATTGGGGGAAGCAATTTGATCTGAATAATCTGTTAACATGCGCAAAATATATCATTTTGTACTTGACTTAGCGTTTGGTTTGACAAATAAAGAAAACATGAAAAAAAAAATTTTTAACGCATTTTAATCTTTTTTATTCAATTGCTTTTTTCTGGACGTTAAAAAGCAATCGGAAAGTTTTCAGAATATTATGATTTTTATTATGATTATGATTGTTATGATTACTATTATTATTATTATTCTTATGATTATTGTTCTCATTATGAGTACTGCATGTTTGGATTTTTGATGAAATTTTTTTTACGAGAAGTTTTAAATTGACCTCTAGTTACCTGTAATTTTTCTTCTAGTTTTGACAATTTTTCATGATAAATCTCATGCAAAGTCACTTCAGCTAAATCAGAAGTGTTCTCGAACATGAAAGAGACAAAACAGATACTTCATCTTGGTATAGTTTTTCAAATCAATTCAATGCATCAAAAGAGTTTTCTAAAAATTTATTGGTTTATATGTGATACAATTTGAACAAAATATGTGTTTTTTTAATTCATGAGCAATGTACTTCACTTTTATTAACCATTTTTGAAAGGCATTGTTGTCCCAAGCTCAAATTAAAAAAATAATAAACCTTTGACAATGTTTCGTGAAGTTATGGGGGTTTAAAGATCGACATTTTGCCTATCTCACTAAATCACTAATAGTGGTTTTGACTATCTCAAAGAAACATGCAGGAGTGAAGTATGGTGCTTTTAAGGCTATATAAATTGTAATTACGACTCGAAAAAAGAGCTAAAAAGCTGTATTAGAGTCGAGAAAAAATGGTCTGTATTTTTTGCTTTTTAAACAAGTGGCTTAACGGTATCGAAGGGGCTTAACGGGGCTTAAAAATAGATAAATCAATACTTTAAATAAATTTCAAAATTAATCCAGAAACAAGTCTAGAAAATTTGATCATCCAAGTCTATGGGTCGAAGATGTTTTATCTTGTTGCCATTCATGTTCCCTGCCATACTAAACAGTCTTTTCAGATTATTGCTAATCGCGGCAACCCATCTTAGCGAATTGCTGACTTTGCATTTTTCTCTGACGAACACAAAGCCTGTTGCGAATAAGAAATCTCGTTCAAAGTGGCACCGGCGACAATATCTTCCATTTTGAAAAGTTGTAGTGCTTTTTCCTGTTCATTTAATAGCTGCTGTTCAATAAGGTAGCGAACAGTTGAAAAACTGCTCTTTGAATAAAATGGGAAAACCTGCTTAAACTTTTTTTAATCTTGGTTTATCTTTTTATCGATAATTTTTCTTTGACCCCCGATTTATATTCAATGTTAGCTAAGACCGGACAAACTTGCGTTTTTAATTGATGTCATTTTCGGGATATTTGTCTACTTCTGCAACATGGAAATAGCTTATAATTTTTCGTAAAATCTTAATATAATCTGAGTATCAATCGTTTCAAAAACTTAAAAACAAACATCAAAATGCTAAGCTGGTACAGCTCAGAAATGATTTCATTGAAAGTTCTTGATAACATTTTTTTCAAAGACTCCTGGGTGTTTAGTAATCGGGTGTTAGTCAATTTGCGTGCTTTCCCACGCAGTTGATGAAAAGATCAGTATGTGAAATTTTTTGTATGAACAAAACTAATAATCAGTAGCGTTCAATCAGCGTGAAAAATTCTTCAAATTCACGCTCGCAAATGAGCTGTAAAGGTTTGAAAACATGTTTTAAAATGAGAAAACAACTGGTTTTGCATGTGAAACACAAGAATGAACACATAAATTTTTCGTTGACTAAAGCATTTTCGCAATTGTTTTTTTTTCACGCACTCGGGGAAATTAATTCACTATTCCCGGGCCTAAAGCATTTTCGCAACTGTTTTTTCACGCACCGGGAAATTAGTTCACTATCATTGGGCCTGGAGGCCCTCTGATAGTGAATTAATTACCTCGGGCATGAAAAAACAGTTGCGAAACTGCTGCTTTATGCTCAAAATCCTCAGCCTTTTTTTAAATAAAGAAGCATATTATTCATCCCTAAAACTCATTTGATCTCACGTTAACTCGTTTTTTTTTCTCACGTTTAACTCATTTGATTTTTTCAAACCAGTTTTACATTTTAATTTGGGTTCTTCATTTGGATTTCTTGGTGAAAAAAGCTAGTGTTCGAAGTTTGCCTCTTTTTTGCTTTCAGTCGGTTTTTAGAACCTAGCATGGGACACTAATTGAACTGCATTCTCAAAAACGAATTTTGAGTAATTTACGAGGCGTGGAATCAGAATTACGTAATGCAATTTCAGTTTGAGCTAAGTAGCGCAGTTTCCATATCAATGAACTTACTTCAAGTCAATTTTTAATGACTTCTGAGACGTATTAAATAGTCGAATGCGATATGCGCGTTAATAGAAAACTGGAAATTTGGCGCTGGAAATCTGGAAATTTGGTTTATTTTCTGTAAAACTCAAGTCATGGATCAATTCGATTCTGTAATTTTTTTTTGTAAACTTTTGTTTGGGCGACCATTGCCTCATCAGAAAGCTAATTATCAGGGTTGATGCTCTAGCCTTAGATCTGGATATTAAACATTGATCTCCGCAGTACCTTAATATTGTGTGCAAAACACTTTTCATCCTCTGAGTACAGAAAAAAGTAGCTTTATTTGCCTCAAATTTATTGATTCTTTTTCACTTTGATTGTAATTTTTGAGATTTGATATTGTAAATTTTGGCCTTCCTCATTCGTTGAAGAATCTGTTTATGATTTCATATCATCCAAACTATTTTCAAGTGTTTATAAACATGTCTCAAGAACCTATTGAGCTTAATTTCAGCCGTGAAAACTTAGTTTTATTCAAATAAAGGTATTTTGTGGAGTTTTATAGCGCAATTTTGAAAATAAAAAACCTGAAAATTCAAAAAATTTGTGCAAACAAATTTGAAAAAATGAAATCTTTTGTAAATTGTTTTTTTTTTTCGTTTTTCCAGTCATTTTTCAGCAAAAACTGTTTTCCAATTGACCTATTTTACTATGACTCAAATATGCCTAATTTCTTTTTTTTTGTTCATGTTTTCTTATCACAACATGCAGAAAAAAAACTACGCCAACTTGTATAAAAAACTTTTTTTAAGACTGGTCGGAACATTCTGTGCTACTTGCACAGTAACCGGCTATCCTTGTTTTTTGTGTTAACTGACATTTTTCTCACTCTCTTTCCGCTGTTTTAAGTTTGATATCAAAGCATCGACAGCTTTCTTCTGGTGACTGATGACTGTCTAATAGACAAAGATCATGCTGGCGCAATCGCCGTTTGTTTGATTCTAATTCAAATGTTTGATTGCTTAGGCGAGACTTCAAAGCCGGCCTCGGGTGCGTCTGGAGACAACAAAGAGAAGGATGCGAAGGCGGCAGGGGAAGAGACGGAGGGAGAGGACGAGGATGAAGATGATGGTGACGAGGATTCGAATGTGAATGGCAAACAGCTGTTCATGAATCTCCTCTCCCGATACAGGGCTCTCAAGTGGCTGTATGGACATGCTGCTAGGTAGAATATACTATTAACCACATTTTCTATTAATATTACATGCTTTATCACCAGTAACCACATTCGTAATCAGGTGTCAAAATAGATCCGCTGCAAAAATACAGAACAAATTCAACATTTTAAATGGACTTGTTTTTTTTTATTATAGCACAAGCAAATAAGGATTCCCTAAATACTTTAAAATATGGATCCCAAAATCTTAAATTATTGAAGGGATTATATTGTTTAGTAGGTCGTCGTTGGGATAGGCTATTATAGAAAGTTTTTAATGAACTGTGTGTCATTGTATTTGCAGATACTACTACCTGTTGAACCTGACCTGCTTCTACACGCCTTTGGTGATCTTCGGGACCCTCAACACCATCCTCACCTCCCTCACTGTCGACGACAAGGACTCCGTTTTCTCAATGGTCGTCATAAAAATATCCGCCGTAACCTCAATTCTCACAGGCAAGTCAATTAACATGAAATTAGTGCCACTTACATTCCAGGGAAGGGTGCATCGTCATGGTTGGTATTTACTCATTATCTAGAGTGGTGTTGAATGAAATCCCTTTCAGAAAAGATTTGGGTTCTGAATGATGTTTCAAGCATTGTTCTCATTGTCAAGAAAAACAAGGCTCTGTTTTTGCCACTCACATAGGTTTATTGCTGAAGTGAGTGGATCAAGCGAATGTTAAATATCAAATGTGTTTTTACTTTTTAGGTTGCTTCAGCCATGTTCATATCCTATTCTTTGAGCCTAATTTCAAGCAATCCGCTTACCCTAGGAATGCTTTTGTTTTTATAGCTATTAATCGTTAATCACACAAAGATAACGCAAAAAAAGAGTATAGTAGTGATTTTTTTTTCAGGAAAAAACCGGTTTGACTTTTGATTTCTTTTTAAGCTCACTTCATTTCCTTTGTTGAAATGAAGGCAAACTCTGATATCGAACAGCGAAAGTGATAGAAGTACTTGAACGACCTCTTATATTGAAAATGGATTTTAATTATCAGGTTTTACAGCGAAATAAAAAATTTAACTATTGATCGAGTGTTCTCAAGTAAGGTAATTCTATCAAAAAAGTGTCAATCATAAATTGTTATAGAAATTCAAAGAGCTTTAAGCCATTTTTTTTTTCGGAAAATCGAAAATTGCGATTTTTTTAAAGAAAAACGAGTCAGTACTTTTTCTGTTTACTTGCGTTCATTACTCTTTTCCAATTGTCACTTGGCTATGTTTTAGATTGTCCCAGTTTTTTCTGTTTGCAAAATAGCTTAAGCATTTAAAATGGGCATAGTATTTTTTTAAAATTGTCTAAAAAAGAGAGCAAAATGTGAGAAGGAAACAAGAATGCTTAAATCAGCGTGAAGCTCTGAATATTTCGACTGCCTTTAATATGTCTTTTTGTTTCTGATTTTTCTTCTGCCAAAAAGCATTATCAAACATCACTTGATGTAATTTGCGCTCAGAGGTAGAGAAATAATGGGACAGTTTGGAATGATTTTGGGATTTTTCCTAAGAAAAGATACTGAGCTCAAATATTCCGTCACTTTCTTACGAAGCAGGAAAATGAGTGCGTTTAGGTGGGATTTTTTGAGCTCTATTAACTTGAGCGCGGAATAACAAGACTCATTGAATAATTTGCGTTTATTTGCACAGCCATACTGATAAATTGATTCAAGCTCAGGTATATTAGCTCAAATAATAATAAAAAAATCCGGGTGAAATATCTTTACCAATTTTTTTGGCATTGGCTTACTTCAATGTCATTGCACAAACAAGATAGCGAGCGTAGTATTATATAACGAATCCTATATATATATATTTAATCCAAATCGCATACAGTAGTATTCATTTCGGTAAACACTTTTGTGGCACAGGACTTACAGTTAAATAGCATATGTTCCATTCAAACTTAATTTCTTTTAGTGGCTAGTATTAAGCTATTTCAAGCGTGCATTCTGGAAAACGGCAGAGTCGGAATCTCCAGGTCCCATGTTTGATTATGGCAGAAGTTAAAACTTTTTTTTCAATTTTTTGTTTACTTTTTTCTTTCAATTTTAGCTTGTGTTTGCGAAGCGCTGCTTCTTATCTGTGCTTACAAATTTCGTCTTAAAGTTTCGTTTGTGCAAAGCTGATCAGAAGATAAAACCCCGGAACATAAATTATCCGTTGCTTTCTTCGTAATTTGGATCTGTTCAGGGGTGGGTTGAGGAGGGGGGAGGACGCTCACCCTCAAGGATTCGACTCCCTCACCAACCAAAAAGTCCCCGCTTTGATAAATTTTATGACATCCATTTTCGGCGACCAAACCTAGAATTTTTCTAAAGGCTGTTTCGGTGCCACTATATACAAATTTTGAATGGGAGCGCTCGCCAAAAAAACACGATGTTTTGGTCAAAGCTTTTTCAAAAAGAGCCCAAAAACGGCATTTTCCCACCCTCCCCGAGAAAACGCTAGATCCGCCCTGGATCTGTTACTATTATATATTTAAATGAGCGCTTCACTATCTCACCACGTTTAAGCTTTTTCAACGTAATATTTTTGCATGTTAAACGAAAGAATTTTTTCACGCTTAAGCTATATCGTATATTGCAATGGTTAAGATTTTTTCGATTTTCCAGTTTGAATTCAGTGGTTGTTCCACCGAGTTCAAAATTAGCAGCCCAATAGTGGAATGCTGTCAGGATTCCCCAAAAGGTTGCAAATTGGCCTCCATTTAAGAATGCTCAAATCCTTATAGTGTTAGAGATACGACGACGTTCGTGATTTTTTTCAAAAATTTTCAGAAAACTCAAATTCCAAAATAATTTACCAAACTTCCCTTTACCCTGTTTTTGGGTGCTGCCAGAGTATTCTCAAGGATTGCGAATCTTGCCTCCAAATGTGACGGCTCAAATCCTTGTAGTTTTCGAGATATGACATTTTTGTGATTTTTTCAAAAATTTTCAAAATCAATTTTTTTTTTCAAAATTTGAAATTCGTTACCCTCTAATAGAGTGTTGTCAGGGTAATTTCAGAAATTGCGAATCTTGCCTCCAAATGTGATGGCTCAAATCCTTCTAGTTTTCGAGATATGACATTTTTTGTGATTTTTTCAAAAAATTTTCAATAAAATTAATTTCTTTTTCAAAATTTGAAATTCTTTACCCTCTAGTAAGGTGCTGTCAGGAATTGCGATTCTTGCTTCCTAATATGGCGATCAAATCCTTGTAGTTTTCGAGATATGACGTTTTTTGTGATTTTTTCAAAAAAAATTTTTGAAATTCCCAACACTCTATTTGGGGGCTATCAGAGTACTGTCAGGGGTTGTGAGCCTTGCCTACAATTATGACTGCTCAAATCTTTGTAGTTTTTCAGATCCGGCGTTTTTGTGATTTTTTCAAAGTTTTTCAGAAAGCTTAAATTGAATTTTTTTCTTCAAAATTTGGAATTCCTAATCCTGTAGTTGGGTGCTCTCTCGGTACTCATAGGGAGTGCAAATATTGCCTCTAAATATCACTGCTCAATTCGTTGTAGTTTTCGAGATATTAGTTTTTTTTCTATGATTTTTCTAAAATTTTCAGTTAACTTAGATTTAGAAAAATTCACAGTTTAAATATCCAAATATCCCAACCATGTAATTGGGTGCTGCCAGGGTACTCCCAGGAGTTGTAAATCTTGCCTCCAAATATAACTACTCAAATTTTTGTAGTTTTCGAGGTTCGACGGAAAATTGGAATTCAAAAAAAGTTCATAAAATTTGAAATTACCAACCCTGTAATTGGGTGCTGTCAGAGTACGCTAAAAGCCTGCAGATCTGGTTTCCAATATATGCGGTTTTTCTTGAGTTGTCAAAAATTCGAAGCACCGGAGGTGCGTAACACGCTAGTAAACTTTATTTGGTGAAAGTAAGTAGCTTCTAATACTAAAAGCGGTGTACTTCAGAACGCAAGGTAAAAATGGAAATTTTGCGATGCGCGTTCAGTAAATTGATGCATCAGTAAATAACTATATCAGTTAATCGAATTATGAAACAATTACTTAACAATTACGTAACCGTTTGCGTCTCAAGTTCTAATTTAGCCTAAAATAAACGTATCAACGAATTAAATGGAAAAACTTTTCAGTAATTGACTGCAATATTGCAATTTCTTAGCTGTATAACTTAATTTACAATTACGTCGAGCATAATTAATTCCTTACTAGTTTAGGGGTCAACTAATAATATACACTGTTACTTTGAAAAGGTTATTACTCTGAAAATACTTTTGGTGTGCTGGTTTGCTGATCAGGTTTATACTTTTGGTTTGCTGATCAGGTAATTTGATTTTCGGTTTACTGATCTGGTCTGGCCGTTTTCGGGTTGCTGATACATCGGTTTACTGACCACCACCTTTTTTTGGAGGGAAAAACATACCTGGAATGTTTTTCTGCGATCTACAGTAGCCAAAAACCTGAACGTATCAACAATTTAAAATACCATGGCTATATGAAATGAAGAAAAAATAAGAAACGAACTCGCACGTCAATATAAAAATGAGCTAAATAAACTCATTTATGCTCTTTGACTAAGAGTAAACCATATCTTTATAATATGAGTGGTGTGTTGTGTTTGTAGGTCTGCAGATGCAGTTGCAATGGGAGAGTGAGAGCGCCAAGTGTGAGAAGACATTTCAAATGTATCGCCGACTGGACTCCGAAATTACTTATCGGTAAGGGCAGCTGATTTTGAACACTTCAAGCTCAAACTGAATGGATATATTTTTTATTATTTTCTATTTAATATTCCTTTAAGAATATAATTATTTTCAAAGTCGCAAGGAATGCAGATGATGTCGATGATCAAATAAATGCCTTAGTACCACGTTTCCTGGTAGCGCTTCAACGTTAAACCTATAATTTAAAGATGGTTTAAATCAACTTTTTACTATCGGTTTGGCGTCTTCAAACACTTATATGACTCAGAGTGTTATAGCATGTGTGGGCGTCATCGGCCTGGTCTTGGCGGCAGTTCTAAAAAAGTCTGCGTTTCTTTTACTTTTTGGAAAGATCTAACTTATTCTAGAATGATGCTGGCGGACCAAGGAGTGCCGGTTAAGAACGCGGCCAAGTTCGCCTGGAAGTGTAGGGATGTAGAGGACCAGACTGTGGATGATGAGCCGGCTATTCCTCAGTTCATAGTAGCCCAAGTGACCCAGGAGGCCCTGCAGGAGCAGAGGCGACTCTTCCAGGGCACCGGTGATGTGGTCACCGAAAAGACATCCAGTTACCTCTAAGTCATTACACATGTGCGTGTTCAAAAATATATGACAATTTTAATTAGGAAAACATGTTTTCAAATTGGAGAGATGTTAATATTTTTGAATATAAGACTTCTAATTCTCTCAAAGGAAAAACATATAACGATGAGTCCTGCACAATGGATACGATGGGTAACGTATACACACAGTTCCTCAGATTAAGAGCTTGAAAATACACACAAAAAATCCAAAAAAGAAAACAGCCTATAGTTTTTGGCAGGATTGGTTTTTTTTTCGTTCTTCAAAAATCTTGCGAGACCTTTTTTTGCTCTCAAATGATGGTTTTTGAGACAAAAAATCAATTTGAGCTCCTGTGAATTAGTCTTTATCAAAGATGAATACTGGTAAGTCTTCTGCGGCACCTGTTTTTTTTCCACCACAACTCTTATCATTCTATTATAGATTTTCAACGATGAGAACATGCAGAGACGTTGCACATGTATCAGTTGTACGCGAAATTTCGTAGAAAGGCTTATTGCTCTTTATTTTGAAACTAGCCATTGTTTTAGATGTTGAACCGAAGCGGCTTTGCCTGACCTGGATGAGGAAGAGCATTTAAACTCATGCATGACAAAAGCATCTGTTTTTTGATGAAGCTTCTTGGATGATTCTTTCTTTTGCCTTATCTTTTGATAAGCTTTATACGCGCAGCTTTTTACCTATCAGCCTGCTCCTCAAACTTGAAAATTAATACTTTTGATTAACGTTAACCAACTCAACTGAGAATGAAACTTTTCTTTAACTTTGCCTTGATTTGAAGTATTTTAACTCAACCTCTAAAAGTGTGCTGATATTAAGTCAAGTGTTATTTTCAATCTATCTTCAATATAGATATGAGAATTCTTCGAAAAACTGTTAAGGTTGCTTTCTAAGTTGAACAACTTACCATGGACTGGTTCAAGCTTTTTGTAAAATGGACGATGATTCGATCGACTTTGAAACTCGTGATCTTAAAAAACCTTAGTGCAATTAACAGATAATTGTTGAATCAGCCAAAAAAATTATTTGTGAAATAATTTTAAAGCATGGTTGGTAAGTTATAAAAATCTATATATTCAAAACTGCTGTCACAAGGGCGGATCTAGGATTTTCTCGAGGGGGGGCGACGGATTTTCAACGAAAATTTTGAGGACCTTTTTTTTAAGGCCGACCAAATTGAATTTCGGCGCTCTCCTCAAACATTAAAAAGACTATGTTTTGGTAAAATTTTCTGCGCCGCAGGCAAAATTTTGAAAAACAGCTCAAAAAAGCCGTTTTTGGGCAATTTTTTAAAAAAGTTTTGACAAAAAAAATCGAGTCGAATTCCTGAGTCAGTTTATCAAAAATAACAAAAAATTATTCTGGGCCCAAAAACAAATCTGAAGGAAGGAACATCTGTTAATTGTACGCACATCTTCAGAGCATTCATCATTTTTGATTTTGAAGATTGACTATAAAATACAGCGTCTATTTTAAAAGAAGTCACCTATTTCAAAATTAATTTTCAATTTAAATCTGGATTGAGGATCATATTATTTTAATTAACCAGAAGTTACAAGAACTTTGATGGAAAGACTTGAAACATTGCCAGAATTTTTTATGAACACAAGGTGGATTTGACGTCTGGAGGTCACATGGGTAGATTGATTACATTTTCATTACTAAATTTTGGCTTTAAGATAATGTTTCAGGTCTACATATATCATTTAATACTGCCTTTGATGGTTAAGTTTCCATGTTTTTGTTAACAATGCAATTATAATAGTTTGTACGTTGTTTCCCTTGTTTGCCAGTTTCTTGTTATGCAAAAATATCAATGTTGCTTTGAGTGGTATAGTATCAAATACTCATGGAGAAGCCTGTTGAAATTTCAAGTTCAATAATGTCCTTTTTCTTTCAAGGAAGTTCGGTGTTATAACCTGATAATTTAGTTCAGTGATAGAAGACAACAGAGTAAACTGCAAGGCGACAATTCGTCAAAAGTTACAACTGGCAGCATTTAGCAAAAAATAAAAAAGACGATTTACATAGATAAGCTCAAAACTTCTTCCAGTGGCCTTGCGGTGGTTGCCCTTCAAGCCAATACGCGCTAGGCCAGGCGGTTTCATTATTCACAGTTCTCCGTTTTGGCATGCGCGTACTACGAATCAGTCCAATTACCAATTAAGACCAATTCTGGTCGCCTGGTGCGAATGGTCGCTTTTTCAAAATATAGCGATTTTTCGCATTTGACCAATTGTCGCCACACGAGCGTAAAAAGGTACCAGGACGATGCCTTTTGACTTATGTATGACTGTTATTTGAAACAGTTTGAGTAGCTTGCATAATAATTGCTTAAATTTTGTGCTCGGGGTAGTTATTTTTCTTGATCATTTTTGTTGGATTTCAAAGTTTTGAGCTCAAATAGGTTAAAATGCTCAAATTTTTGCACCTGTCACAGTTTTTTGCAAAAAAAGTTTTGATGAAAAAAAATTAGAAATTAGGTTTTTAAAAGAAACTTCGATGTTTTTTCTTCTTACATTTGGCCTTAACAAATCTGAAGTAAAAAGTGATACTTTTTAATGGTACAGTTTTTACCGAATTTTTGAATAAAACGTCCCACACATTTTGTTTCCAAATTTTGCAGCACAACTGTCTTAATCCGCTGCATATTGGAAAAACTTTATTTGAGGTAAAAAGCCTGAAAATAAAGGGAAAAAAATTAAGAGTACAAAAAATTCTCAGCTGCAAATTGGAGATAATTTTTTGAGGTAAAGAATATACATGAAGCGTAAAAAGTAAAGCGTGGAAATAAAGCGTAATCAAAAGTAGCTGAAAAATTGTTCAACAGTGCCAAAAATTGATGATTTTTGACACAGTCAAATAATTTTTCTTTTGAGACTGTTGTACTTCGGCGCAGTTGAACTGTTTCAGTCTAATGAACAGAGGTACTCAAAAGTGCCGATGTACAAGAGATCCGAAAGTATAAAATATTCAAGATTGCCGAAGATGGTGCTCTAAGTATTTAATTAATCACGCTTTATTTTTAGTCCTTACCTCGAATAAATTTTTTCCAGTTTGCAGCGGATTTAGACAGTTTTGCTGCAAAATTAGAACTCAAAATGAGTTTGGGTCGTTTGCTTGTTTTAATCGATGCACCTGGAATTAAATGGGGGCATTCAACCGTGCCGAAAAACAAGTGCCGAAACTGAAAATGGGTTAAACAGTGCCAAAAATTGAATCAAATCGACGGAAGTTGCAAAGTCAAAAATGGCCATTTTTTATGACGCTCGTTAAACAAACATTTCATAAGTCGTCATGAGGCGTCATAAATATTTTGAACAAATAACTATTTGAGCAATTTATCAAACTTTGTTCTCGATTGCGCTCCAAAACAAAACACTGTTCAAAAAATTTGCCAAAGGTTTTCAAGATGAACTCAAGTTTTCCAATTATGATTCATTCTTAAGACTATTGAACATATTTTTTGTTTCGGCACTGTTTTAATTCGGCACTGTTGAACGGGCCCTATAAAAACGAGTAAAAAGTTTATGATTAGCAATATGGCTCCTATTTTATTTAAGATAAAACTGAAGAAGATAATGGATGTTCTAATTAAAAAAAAACAATTATTAGTTTTTCATATCAATTGGAGCGTACATAGAAAAAATTATCGGTCATGGAACATCCATATAGAATTCTATTGTTGTGGTCAAAATTAGATAATAAGCTCATCAAATTTTTACCGATCAAGTCCTCATGAGCGTTATCAAGTTCTCGTGACCTCTACTTTTATCACCTTGAAAATAGATAATTTATGAAAAGATTTTTTTTGCTGCAGTATAAGCATTTTCATTTTTTATAGAAACTTTCAATGTTTTCTTTATAAGCTCATTCAAAAGTAGAATTAACCACCTTCAATTCTTCAGAATACTCGATAATCACCTGATAGCCATCACTAAAAAAGAAGCGTTGAAACCCGAATAACCAAGATAATGTCAAGCAACATAGTTAAATTTGATCCTCTGAAACTTCCAAAACAAAAATGTTTGTTTCAAGTATTGGTTTTGAGTTTGCATAAATAAGAGTGTTTCAAGCGCTAAAGTTTTTTTCTAAATTCTTTCCATACTTTGGACCTCGGAATAGTGAAAATAAGGTCAAAATTTCCACACAGGTGAAGTTTAACTTGATAACCTGACAGGCATTTCTTTTTAAAAAGTTTTGACCTGCAGTGTAAGAGTTACATTTCCAACTCTTGGAACTCCGGTTTTCAGCTCTGCCTTTTTGTCGCAGTTCTCGAGGTCCAGTTTTGTTGTTGGAACGAAAAACTGGACAAATTTGGATCCACTTGTATTTTTTTGTCCGGTTGAAAATGCGAAACTTAGTGTTTCAGGCATTGATTTCAGTAGCACTTGCGTGTTCATTGGTGGAGTGTAGAAACCACTGCTGTTGATATAAGCGGTAATTTTTAAAAAAATGTATCGTCTTGCAAGCATACAATTGTGATTAACCCCGACTTGAGTTTGTTTTCTAAGACTCTGTTTGCGTAAATCTTTGTTATGGAGACGTCAAGAAAAATTTGTGCTCATGTTTAACTGAGTCCGGAATCGCTCAAACGCAAATTTTTGCGAAATAAAGAGCCTGAGAAAACGGGAACTTTGCCTAGATTGTGGTAAAAATGTGGCATTTTACAATAAAAGTGTCTCTTGTTCCGTTTTTTGAAAAGCTGACCAAAAAATTGTGAGTGCCGTGGTCAACTAACCTTTGAATTGAAAATTGGGCAATTTTGACAAAGGTTTTTTTTATACAATCTAAATTTTTGTGGTCCCCGAAGTTCAAAAGTACAAAAAATATATTTCACGTGTGACCATTTTTGATAAAATTATGGGGATATAAACATTGCCAATTTGTTAAAAATGTTCAATTTGGGTTAATTAACGCGCAATATATCCTTCCTACAATACGCGTAAGCGGTAGATAAGCTCGTTTCAGTTTGAACTGAATAAAATTAATTAGTTATGAAAGTTCGAAACGCTAATTACATCCCTTGAACTTTGTATTTTTCTAAATTGGCCTTAATTTGCAGTCAGAAGATTTGGCGCTTCAATTGATTTACTGATATTCTTATCGTAACTGCTTCGTTGTCAATTAATTCAAATTGGTTCGGCATTTGATATCTATTACGAAATATCTGTTTGTTCAATAATTTTGAGTTTAATTCTTATTTAATTGATCCGTCCCTTTTGGCTGTAATTACGATAGGAGAGAGGAAACAATCTGCAGAACATCTATTTAATTTTTCGATGTGACCATCTCTTAGTAGTTGGTCGATACATAATTTAACTTTAGGGAGAAGATGGATCGGAATGCGTTTCCCCTTCACCTGTATTGGCTTTATTGATTCGTTAAAATAAGTGTTAATTATGAAATTCTTCGATCTACCGGGTCTTTTTATAAGGTCTGAAAATTGTCTTGATATGTATGCTCTAAACTCACTTTGTGATAGTGTCTCTTGGTTTTGGTCTAGTTTTCTGTCTGATGCAAATTTTATTTGATTGACGTCCATCCCAATCGGTGATTCTTTCTGAGTTATCCATAGCTCTGACCCATTGGGTGGGGGTTGTTTCTGGAGTACTACTATTCCCGGTAATATGTCGTTTCCGAGGAGATTTCTTTCTGCTCTTCGGTAATAAAAAATTTCTGGTCACTAGCGTCCCAACCCTTCGATCGAATTCTCACCCGAACTCTTTTAATAATGTTTATTGTGCTCCCGAAGCCTTGGTACGCTTTCTTTGTTATTTCGTCAACAGGTTCTATTTTTTAAAATCTTTCTTGTATCTTCAATTCATGAAGTAGGTCTTTTTTCATGAATGAGATTGGGATTGCTGAGTCAATTCTGAATTTCGGTGCAGTAAGGGTTGAAACTTCCCAGAGATACCATCAACGTCTTTTTTAGTTCTAGGCCTTAAAGTACGGGTTAAGTACGGTTCTCACTCCAAGTCCGATCTTATCTTCAACTGCATTTATTTGGATATCCGTGTCCAGCGCTAGAACTAAAAAATCATCAAAGTTGACATCGAATTTGGGATTCTCCTACGGGTTAAACCGGGTATTTTCTTTTTCGTGGGATATTTGGTTTTGTTCGACTATGTTTGTTTGCGTTCTTGCTGTACTCCTGCAATGTTTTGCAAAAAGGCTTTTACGGCCGCACGTACTGCAGTTTCTATCTCTGGCTGGGCATGTAGTTAGGTGTCCCTTCTTGAACTGCTGACCACAGTTGCGACACTTATTGTTTTCGACGATATTTAGTGTCGGTTCATTCTTTATAAATTGTGGTCTCTGTACCGCATTATAGGCCGGGAATTTTAGGTACTGTTATTGAATTTTCGTACTTTTCTCATGGACTAGTACATAAGATAATGCGTTTTCTGGAGTCAAGTATTCGATGCATAATTTCTTTTGTATCTCGACGTTTTGCATATTTGTAATGAAAATGTCTCTGACTAATTCTGACTCTAGTTCTCTCAGTTTACAATTTTTTGCCAACTCGGATAGTGTTTCGTGGAATTTCTCTAAAAATTCATTTTCTTTCTGTCTTCGGCCAAAGAAGTTAAATCTTTCGTTTGTAAGGTTTGTAGTGACCGTAAAAGTAGTTTTAAGTAATTCCCAGAATTCAGCAAAGTTTATGTCCAGTATTCTTTTCCCAGAATTTTTATGTGAGAAGAATTTCTGTCCTTCTCATCCAAGTGCCAGGTATAGTTGCGATTTTAATTTCTTGTCGACATCTCTGATTTGGAAACCGTTGAATTTTGCGTTCTCTTCTGCTTTTCTCCTTCTCATTTGAAATCTTGGATAGCTAATCGGTGATGTTCATCTTTTTCTGCCCGACGAGCTTGATCATTGGAC